TACAAGAGTGTCATAATCCATACATAATTTTTTTAATTAGGTAGGATGCAGAAAGTATCGGCCACTCTTCTTCTATGTTGTATAAAAATTGAACAGCTGTATCGATTAACAACAGCTCATTAGAAGAAAATTTGTCTTAATTCTTACTATGGGAGCGTATGGAAACGGGAAACTATAAAGCCCTCTTTCTCGAGTTATTGACTTTTATGGATTAAGACACTCTTGCAGCAATTAAGTGATATGAATGAGAATATGTGAATATTTATATTGTGTGTTTCCAGCATCGAACTCAACAAAGCGTACAAACGAGTAAGACGTGACCTTAAGGTTTTGTGATTTAGGCTATAATGACACTGCTTTGTGTCTTTAGTATTTATTTTGCAAAACCATCCAATAATTTAACTTTATTTTTGTGTTTTCCTACGCCAATATAAGTTATCCGTTAGCTCAAATGCTTTCGAATCACTTTTTCGATTTTCGAGTAACTTTGGCAATCAAATTCGGATTACGTAGTTGCTCATATCCGTGAAACGAAAATGGAATATTTCAATTCGATTTCGGATTAGGTAGTATGGAAAATCCGTTTTCGGACGAAAATTCTTTCGAATGGAATAGTAACCCCCCTGGTCTTGAAACCTTCCGTACGTTCCCTAACACTTCGGTATAATTTTCGGGCACCTTTTCTGCTCGCCAGCATTTCAAGCCCTTCACACTCACGTATTTCGGCCAATTCTTCTTGCGACAAATACGTCTCGCTTCTGTCGTCAGTTCCCTATAGCGGTCCCACATAGCTCGCGTTGCGCCCGATCGCAGCGTGGCCCTGTATGCGGTATCTTTTTTATCTGCAGCTTCTTGACGCTCCTCATCGTGCCAGTTGCTCTTTCGAGCTCGCTGAAATCCTATTACCACTTCAGCAGCGGTACTTAATGCGCGGGAAATGTGCTTCCACATTTTTGCTGCACAGATGTGGGTGCGTGTCGTAGCTGGAACAACATAGTGGTCCGAGTCGATGTTCGGTCCTCGGAGTGTATGTACGTCCAAAACACTGAAAGCATGCCTTCCTTCACCACATGATCGAATCGATTTAGTTTCTCGTTTTTCGATCTGGAGACAGCCACGTATCTTGATTCATATTTTTATGCTTGAGCCTAGTACTGCATACTATCATACTTGGCCCCCGGAGAAGTCGATCAGCTTCAGTCCGTTGCCGGATGTTTCATCGTGGAGGCTGAATATTTCGACGGTGATTTCAAAGATCCCGTCCCTGCCCACCTAAGCATTGGAGTGGCGGGGGCGGGATTCCGGGATCCCGGACACTTCTCCATGTCGCGAATTCCCGGGACTACAGCTCCGGGATACCGAGATTTATACTAAGTCATTTTCGGAATAAAAGAGATGTTGAAAGAAGACCAAAATTTTGATTCAAAGTGAACTTGAGCCATTTGAACTTGGACGTGAATTTCAGAACTTGCCTGAATAACTGTACTTGTTCAAACATTTTGTGTAAGAACTGTGTAATAACGAAAAATCTGGTAGCAATAGCAAACACAACAAGATTTTATAGTGTGGAAGTTTTGTTCCTCATTTTATTTTGTTGGCGTTTTGTGGAAAATGAATTTCTGAAGATATTAGTAAAAGAGGTTTTTAAGATTAGTAAAACATTAGACATTAAAATACGGACTCTTTTACTAGGGTGCATTATGCTCCCTGTAAGACCAAACACGGTGACAATGAATATATGTGGTTTAAAAAAGGCGAACCTACTATTAAATGCAAAAGTTGTGATGAAATCGAAATCCCGAAAAATCCCGGGATCCCGGGATTAGAATTTTTGCATCCCGAAATCCCGGGATTGTTAAAATACTTCGGGATTGAATGGCCTAGTATGTATTTATTATTTCTTGTCTATTTTATTATGTACTATTTTCTCTGTGCAGGAATACTATGAAACATCAACAAAGCTTTGACGGTAATAGGCCACTATTTTGAACATATTCTTATTACATTCAAACCTATGATACCGGAACAACCCGGAATTACAAACATTAAGCTGGGTCGATTTTGTATGGGGGAAAATAAAAGGCATTTAACCGTTTTGTAATAGTAATATTATGTTGTCTTAGATCTAAGCCAATTGTTATTGGCTACGAAAGATTAATTTAAAACTTATCTTTAGCCGGCGCAATTGAGCAGAGTGTATGAATTTTGAAAATGAAACTTTGGCTTGTAATATCCATGGAAAGGGTTAATTGTTATAAACAGGATGATGTATCAAATTAAGGGTTATTAAATTTGGTACCTCACGTTCATTTATCATTTTTCAAATAAGTCTACAAGTTTTTAAGATATTAAGATAAAACTTACAAAAACTATAATTTTCCCCTATGAATTTTCAATTCTTCATTACTTCAGCAACCAAGTGAAAAATCCAAAAAATGAGACGAGGTTTATATCAAACGTTTTAATGTTAAAAGGACCATTGACTTGGTCCCGCCGGTTTGGTCAGTTTTCAAATTCGTGGTTTTTAAGAAGTCGAACATGTATTGTCAAAGATTAGGAATCCTTTGATAAATTAATAGTAGTTTCAAACATATACATAAGTATTTAAATACATTAACATAATACAATTAGGGCGAGAAACGCCCATTTTATGTCCATTTATGCAGTCTTGAGAATTGGTGAGGAATGGTTTCATAGTCACCGAAGAAGCACATTTTTCGCGGTTTCTAAATTTGCCTTTATATGAAAATAGGGGACGTGTTAATTCCATTAACATATCCTAGGAAATACTTTTGAGGACTCTCCAATTGGACGATATTGCTTTGCATTCAGCTTGAACGATTGAAGAGATTTTTTTTAGAAAAAAACTGGAGATCCACTTAATTTTTCGATATAACTTTGGTAAATGTCACTCGATCGGTACGTAATAATTACCAAATTGAAGGCGAGACTCACTGTTACTGATTTATGATAATACTATGATGAAAATCGTTCAGATTATAAAAAAAAAAAAATATATAAAAAAAAAATGTTGAACAAATTTTTTTGTCATTTCCGTATATTGGTAATTTTTATATTGTATGCATAAACATAAGTAAACTAATTAGTGTTTCTAGAAGTTGTGCCTGTTTAGTGTTTCCATGCTCATTTGCATAAACAAAATTTTTCCACGATGATGGAAAATAATGGATTTTCTATTAGAGCTACCGATATTGTTCCTAAGTTTGCAAAAAATCGCAAACTGTATATAATATTAAAAAAAGATTGGAATATTTGGGATCAGCGGCCGAAATGCATGCCAGCAATGTTAATGCTGTTCTTTACATCTTTTGACTATAGGCCAGTGCAATTATCAACAAAACAATTACAATTTGGTTGAAAAACAGATAAGCTTGAGATTAACGATAAGCTAAAGGAGATTTATTATCTTATAATATGCACCAAACATTTTTGCTGAACCCAGAATTTTGAACAAGAATTGGTTTTATTCGACTAGTGTGCTGTGGGTCCCTTGGCGGTCGATGCGCGGGCTCTTACAATTAAAGTAAATGACTAATATTTTGCAGGCTTGTTGTTGACTTCTTGATACAATATATTTTCACTATTACCAAGGGATTTGAGAAAAATTAGATTTTCGACCCGCCCTAATGTACATACATACCTATATATGTATGTACGCCTATACAAACTCAAGTCAAAGCTTCATGGTGTTGAAGAGATATAGAATTATTTCAGCCGCTTCTGCTTGTTCTCCTGTAATACAAAATATTAGCGTTATCATAATGAAAACTTCAATGCTAAGCCTAGGTCATTATGTGACAACAATTGCAACCAAATCAAGGCACCCAGTACTCAATGAGCGTCGAAGCAAAACAAATTGCATCCGTTTTTTAATTGATAAAGCAAATAAAAATGCTAGATTTACAATAAATGCGCCATCACACCTGCTATTCGTATATAAACCCTAAAAATATGAAATACTTCTTTATTAAGTCACAACAACTTAAAGAAAACGATGCAAAAATGCTGCCGCTGTCAGTATTTCAGAACTTACGCTTTTTGATTTTACTTATAATAGCAGCCAAAGAGCTGCAGGCCACTAATTTACAAGACGAAAAAGGCGAAACGAATAAGGTGCTGATAAAACGGGGAGACAGTACAAGTGGGAGTGGGGCGCCAAATGGTGGGTTAAAAAAACTTAAGAAAAAATCGCTTTCACAATTTATTTTTCATGCGTACTTCACAGACTATGGACCTGCTATAAAAATCTCCTCGAGCGTCTTACAGCTGACGCAGGCAAAGCAGGGAACCTCCTCCGTTGGTGATATTGGTTTAGAACACCATGAAACTACGCTTGAACAGCCTTGGTCTGTATTAGCTGGGGCTCACCTACCCGTTGCACAAACCGTTTGGTTGGAGGTGCCGGCAAGCCAACAAGATTTTCATTTATTCGCTGTGCCAGATGTGAGCAATTTTCATTTTCCACAACCCCCAGAGGGTACTGGGGGAGTTGGGGGTGCTGGTGGTGCCAGCGGCTCTTCGATGGAAACTGCTTCTCCACTATCTAAAGGATTGCATACGCAGATAATAAGCAGCGGTAAGGGCGTAATGCAGATTAGCGATAATCTTGATTTCGGTGAAGTGGCGGAGGGAAAAGCAAAGGGCAGCTATCGTACCTCTTACGGCAGATAAGTGGCGATGGGTAGAGAGTTTTGCATGGAATTTGGTCCTAAAATAATAACATGATATGCTGTAATCAGTGCTAAGTTTAAGTTTGTTTTATTAAAACACTCAAAAAAATTTAAGTTACATAACTAAGAGTACCGAAAACAAGTATTTTTTTGTTTTACTCTCTTTACTCCAAATACTATTGTAATCCTAGTAATACTGTCACGAAAATTGCCACACAGATCGCTTATTATTTCAAAACACAACATCACTTCATGCTTGCAGGCAACAAGAGAATACTCCTAATTCCTCCCCGTATTCTTAAACCCCCTCTAAAATAGTCCGTTTTGTTCGTCGTGTTTGTGTTCGTAGAGAGTGCTGTAGCTGAAAGCGCCTTTGCCGTGATCAATCCCCACCACAGGCTGGCTATGGAAGTCGCCGTGATAATCGCCATGGAAATCCAAATCCTCCAAATATCCATGTTCACTAAAGTTAGGTATTGAAATATCTTCATGATTCTCAGTGGCCGCACCCTCAGCTTCTTCGTAGTCCTCGGCTGTGGCACCATGATGGCCACCATAATCGGCGGGAAAATGTTGCGTGTCCAAGTGATCACCCGCAGCGCCAAGTGACTCCAAGTGGCCATCATCAGCGCCGCTAAAGTCATGCGCTTCCACATCGTCGCTCAATTTGGGCAGCTGCAGCTGGCTAACGGCCTTGGCAGCACTTAGTAGGCCTGCATGATTGCCCAATGGCCCAGCATTGTAGACGGCCGACTGGATGCCTTCAACTTCCAGCTGATTGTCATAGGGCACATGTAATGCACCAATGAATGTCGCACAGCTGATCGTCAGTAAGAATGCACAACCGAGTATTTTGGCGAGTTGCAAAGCCATATTTTTTAATCAGAGGTGTTGCTTTGCTTACTTGGTCTCTCCTACTATGATTGTTAGTGTGGTCTTGCTTTCTTTTTTTATTTTGTTTTTCTTACTGCTTACAATTGAAACGTTGGCATCCAACTAAATTTCCAATTCCAGTGCTCGGCGATTTATATACAATTATGAAAATCAGAGAGTTGCCTTGATACGGCCACTTTGGCCAACAGATATGGGGAGCGCGTACATTTTCATTGCACTTGCACTTTTCTGCAATGTTTGGCGTGGTATGCAATCCGATAGCGTTTTCGACATTTATGTTTATACTTACATACATACATACATATGTATGTGCATACCATGAGATGAGTGCGCATGCGTACGTTTGAATGCAAGTAACAAGGAAAAAGTTGCTCCACCAAAATTTTCAATTTCTCATTGCATTGACTCTGGCGACGACTCGAAAGCCAAGTGCTAAACATGCTTAACTATTTGAGTGCACATATGGGCTAAAATACAGCAAAATATGAATACATTTTTATTTAATTTCTTACATTAGCCTATTTCAATTGCACTCATACATGCATAATGTAGTACGAAGTTTTTTTGTTGAACAGCCTTTTAAGTATTACATGACCGAGTTTTAATTCAGGTATATAACAAAAGTTAAATGCGGACGTTTTAAGCCAGATCATTGAACATATTACAGTGGATGAATGCATTTAAATGCAATTGGTAAGTATAGCATAGCCACTAAATTTATTAAAGTAATTCTACCAAGTATAAATTTGGGAAAGAACTCTCAGCGCCATTTGAGCCCAAACGTGATTTTAGACAAGGCGATTCAGTATCGTGCGACCCTGAATAGCAGCGGCATATATAGCAAAAGAACGATGCTGCTCTTGATTAGTGACGCAAGCGCAACATTTTGCAGCTTAGAGGCTAAGAGGTTGGTCTAGCGGCAAACGAGAGCAAGGCAAAGTACCTTCTGTCAACAAATAAAGGGCCCACGCGTTTTGGGACACACATCACTGTTGGCAGTTATAACATTGATATAGTCAAGGACTTTGTCTACCTAAGATTCAGAATAACTACCAACAACAACTACAGCATGGAAATCAAGCGAGTAGTAACTTTGCGAAGAGTGCCACTTTGGCCTCGGTAAGCAATTGAAAAGCAGACCCTTCTCTCGACCAATAAAAATGACGCTCTACAAATTTCTCATCAAGCGCGTTCATTTATATGGCGCATAAATATAAACGACGTCACACAATAATGAGAAGGCATTGTGGGATTTCGAGTGAACTAGTCTACGTAAGATCTATGGCTCTGTTCGTCGGTGCGATGCTGAATTGGTACGCATTGATAACGATCCTCCACTTAAGCGATCTTTTGACTCAGCAACCATGGGTGGACAATGAAAGGACTGGCGCCAATTAGCAATGGGGAGAGGCAATTGGAAAAGTTTTCTGGTCTCGGCCGAAATCGACAAACGGTTGTTGTGTCAAATAAGAAAGAAGAATATTATTGAATTTATTCTCCATTTCAGTCTTGCTTTAAAGCAAAACATGTTCAACTGCGATGATAAATATTCGAGATAATATTAGAAAATCATTTGACAAAAGTCATCTAACATTAGTTTGCCTACTTGACTTCTCTAAAGACTTTGATTCTGTATATGGTATACACCTGCTTCGTTTCAAAAACATAAAAAAAAAAATATTTCCGTTTTGGTGAATTTGCGTTGCGATTAATGAAAAGCTACTTGAGATACAGATATCAGTGCATCAAGCTTGGGTCTGACATAAACCGCTGGTGACTAGTGTGCGCCAGGGCTCAATCCGAGGATCGTAGTTATTTCATAAATGCCATTTTTTATACTTGGCCACTTCCACAAATGCACGCTTATGCGGTTGATATCCAAAACTACATGTCAGACACCCATGAGTAATCAAATGACTTGTGTTCGAAGTTAAATAGTTATTTAAACGTCCATTCCGTTTTGGTTATTTATCTTAATATCGACAAATTCTATGTGTTACCTATTTGTATGTAAAAAAATAAAATTTATTCCGCCACACAGTAGTTTGAAGAGAGAATCTAGCAGGACATAACTATTTTAACAGATTCGCGTTGATGGATTGTTCACCAATCTACTAGTCATAAACCACTGACACAAATCATCAGTAAGGTTTCAGAATACAATTTGGCGGAATAATTTTTAAAAATTTATTGGTTTTGCTCGGAACTTTTAACTAGGGGGTCTTTAGTATTATTTGGGAGGTTTTAAGATAGCTGATTACGAATCTGAAAGTAGGTTTAAAAAGTTTTAAATTATGGGTTCAATATGACGGCTTTATAATTTAAAAACGCTAGTGGATTTTAGTGGAAATTAGTTTCCTCTTAAATTCAAATATGAAACAAAGTTCTCAAAAATTGGCTATAGCTTTCTGTGTGTTTGTAGTTTATATGTCGGTTGAAAAATAACCAGTGGCGGACTCAGGTAGGGGAAATTACCCTCCTCCCCCCCCCGGACTGTGTAACATGTATTTTCTTAATATTCAACTGAATATCGTGAAATATCATTACAAGAATATATAACAGGTTTGTTCCACAAGCTACTTGTAGAAAAGCACGAGCAAAGTTCAAACTGTGTGCGTATATCAAATAAACTCGAAGACTTACTTGCGGAGCGCGTATATGTAACTCTAAGTGACTTCGAGAAGCTTGGGGAACAAACCTAATGAATGGATGCTTTTGAAAATTTTAGTTCATGGAAAAAGTGTGTCAAATTTCACTTGAGTTTGAAATTTTAGCTGTGTGTTAAGCTCGAAGTATTATGTTATTTAAGCAGGCCTGTCAGTTTTTCGAATTCACTGGATATTCAAAATTTTGAAATCATGTACCTACTTATATTATTTTACACAGCTGAAAGTTACAGCAAGTTTGAATATTTTCGCAGGTTCAGAAAACGACGAAAATTCCAAAATTTTTAATTTTATAATATTATTAAATTTCTTGAGATTGCTTATTTTTGGGATAATTTCCAAAATCCAACTATCGAAATCCGGGAAATTCTAGAAATTTTGGTAAAATGAGAATATTTTGAAATGTACAAAATTATTGAGATTTTAGAAATTTT